GGCTGAAGTTTAAATGGGATGCTGTCTCCGCTCTGCGACTTACTCTACCTCTGCCTTGTAATCTTACTCTGTGTTTTAGTCTTTCTGCAAATCCATCAATTAATGGCAGCCCTCTGGAGAGTGCTTCCCGCCTCACCCAGGGAAGGGGGCACTCGCTCTGCATGCCACACGCCAAGGCCCCTCGAGTCACACAGTGCCATGAAAACCTGGAGATGAGGGGCAGGCAAGGAGACATGGCTGTCTTTACTCTCGCAGCTTGGGTTCCAATTGGCTATTCTTTATCCGAAAAACTCACCTGGAAGATTATGACAAAAGCCAGACGGGCAGACAGAACAGACCAGTACTGTTTGGAAAACTCATATGGGTTTGGGGCCCACGGCGGCTCTCGGTAATCCTTAAACCTGCCCGAAGAGGAATGTGGTGTTAAGATTGAGAAAAGATGGAGGGAAGAGGGGTACTTCGCTGAGGGAAACCTCTGAGGTCAAAGCATCGGACAAGCCCTTGACTTTCAGACTTGGGAAACAAAGAGGAGAAATCCATGGCCCGACCAATAAGTGTCCATGGAATAAAAGGACCAAAGTCCAAAAAAGCCAATGTCAGACTAGAAATGTCTTTTTCCTACTCTCTCTCTCCGATATTCTCAAAGCTTCCTCTGGTGTCTAGATTCTCCTTCCAGAGGAGCCTCAAGAATCATGAGAGGATCCCAGGGCAGTGAGTCCATCTTGACTCCCACTCACTTATAGGCCTTAGAGGGGAGAAGAGACCCACAGACTCTCATACAGTTCTCTGCAGCCTGTGGGCTCAATGAAGATATAGGTGCCAGAGACGATCCTGGGCTTCATCCCTAGGCATTTGATTTGGGACTATGGCCATGAGAGGGGGGCTGGCCTTGCTTGTACCCAGAGAAAAGCTGATTGTGACCAAGTTACGACAATCCTGGGCTTCATCCCTAGGCATTTGCTTTGGGACTATGGCCATGAGAGGGGCTGGCCCTGCTTGATGGCTGCATTCTTGTACCCAGAGAAAAGCTGATTGTGACCAAGTTAAAGGCTGAGGGAACTGAGGTGGGGAGGGCTGGTGGTAATAGTCACGGTTGATCAGTATCATCCTCTTTTACAAACCATCGCTATAATTTGGCTGTGCTGCTTAAGAAACAAAATGTCAGTGTGTGACGAGAGCTCATGCCTCCTTCTCAGATCCACAGAGAGGTCAGGGTTCATCCTCCCCATTGCCTTTTCACCCACATCCTATCTTGCAATGACACCTATGAAAAATGGCTCATTTTCTCAGACTCACTTTTTGCTAAGACTGGAAAAGTTACAAAAGCTGGTACCAGAAGAATTATGACTCTTCATGAAACTGTTTCCTCCATGGAATTCAACAAAGCTTTGATGCTCAGTAAAAGCAAAGCGGGCCCTGGGCTGAAGGGAGAGGTGGGGTGGCATCAGGCCACCATGTGGGGCGCACAGCTACCAAGGAGGGCAAGGTGGGGAGACTCTGTCTGAGAAGGAGCCAAGAAGGGAAATGAACATATGCTAACAGGCAGTATATTTCAATTTATGTGCAAGGAAGTTTTCTGGAAGTTTTCTCATTTAATCTTCACAACGGTATCCTCAGGCAGGCACTGATATACCCGTATAATACAAGAGGAAACTGAGGCTCAGAGAAGTTTAAGTACTTGGCCAAGATCTCATGGTCAGCGAGTGGTGGAGTCAAGATGAGAACCGAAGTCTGGCTGAATTCAAGCTTCTCTCCCGTCATCACAGAGCACCTTATCACCAGCGGTGGTGTGGGGTGGGCAAGTCAGAAGTGGGTGCTCTCTGTAGCTTCCCCAGCCCTAACAGCACCAACTGCTCTGAAGGATTCATGTCGAAGCCTGGTGGCTCCCAACTGCCCAAGGAGAGATGAGGGAAGAAGGTGGGGGGAAAAAGCCTAAAAAAGAGATGCACATGAAAAGATAGAAAAAGGCCTAGAGACAGAGTCAGCCACAGAAAGAGACAAACTGAGAGGGGGGGCACTAAGCATTCGACTAGGGCTGGGCAAGAGGCCAGGAGTTGCCCCCTCCCACCCAACTCCCCCTCTTCCAACAGCTGATCACAGCTGTTGCAGGCCTGGTTTGACATTCGGATGAAAAGCAAAGCTAACTGCAGCACGGCAAAACACCACGGCATTCATCACATCCATCCGTGGCTGAGGACAGAAACACGGCCAGCTTCAATTATGCTTGCTAATGGGAGAGAGGGAGAGCGTGGCTAAAGGAATAAGGACATCCCGAAGTGGGAAAAACACTCAGGCTAACCTCACCCGCTTGCTGCCCCGCAAAAGACCCCATGGCAGAAGGGAATTGATCTTAGTCTTCTCAAGACCTCCAAGGAGGGGTGCTACACACATGCTCACTCCTTTGCACAGGGAAACCCTTCCCTGGGTCCAGCCCCATCCCTTTTGCTGTAATCAGTCTGTTTCTCTTGTTCTCTAGCTCCATCTATGAAGGAACAGATGTTCACTGACCTCAGTATGAGAGCCATTGCTCACCCTGCTTTTTTGCAGTCTGAAAAGAATCCATAAATAATCGAATTCTGGTGTCCCACCTCTACCACTAACTCACATAGCTTTTGGAAATGTCACTTTGCCTTCCCTGAGTGTCCAAAACATGTTTTGAATCTAATAGGCACATTTATCTAATCAAGTATCTGGGAAAGATGAACACAGATATGTCCAGAAAACTCTACTTGAAAATACCCCTATGTCGATGGGCTAAGGGTACTCTGTTAGGAACTATAGGGCAAGTTATTCACTGAAAAGAACGATACGCTATTTAATAAACTGTGCATCTGTTCGCATTTCTCTTTCCAAAGATAAGTTTTTAAAACCTGTGACCTACAGTAGTAAGAAATACATTTTAAATTGATGTGCACATAAATATATGTCACTGAAACAAAAATTACACAAAACATATTTACCCTTGCTGTGTGCAATGCACTGGTATCTTTCTATTCTATCCTATTCTATCCTATCCGATCTGATCCTATCATCTTACCCTATCCTATCCTATTTTGTCCTATTCTATTCTTTAAAATGCTGATCATGACCCATTAAATGGATAACCTACTAATGAACCATGACTCATAGTTAGAAAAACATTGATTCCAGTAAGCCTCTGCCAGCAGGTAAATGATTGGTTGTTTACATTCCAATATAAATTCAGATTTCATAATATAAAATAAGATTTCGTCATTCTCAGATATGGTGCCCGCCTGCCTCTGCATGCTGTGTTGGGGGAGGGCTCGACAGGGGAACAGTGGCTTCTGCCAGGCTTCTCTCTGGCAGAAAACTGACCCTCCAGCCTTCACCCTGAAGCCAGACAGTTTAGTTCCTCCCCACTCATCCTTGGCAGCTTTTGATCTGCTACTCCAGAGCTGGAGCTCAGAGCAATTTCATAAAGAAAAGGATCTCAAAGAAAAAAAAACACAGTGAAGGAAATCATTAACAAAATGAAAAGACAACCTACTGAATGGGAGAAGATATTCACAAATGATATCTCTGAAAAGGAGTTATTATCTAAAATATATAAGGAACCTATACAGCTTAATGCAAAAAAAAAAAAAATAATAATTTTTTTTTTGACCAAAAAATGGGCAGAGGACCTGAATACATGTTTCTCCAAAGAGGACATACAGATGCCCAACAGACACATAAATAGTTGTTCAACATTATTAATCATCATGGAAATGCAAATCAAAAACACAATGAGGTATCACCTCAGAATGGCTATCATCAAAAAAAAAAAAAAATCAATGAATAACAAGTGCTGGTGAAGATGTGGAGAAAAGAGAACTCTTGCACACTATTTGAGGGATTGTAAATTGGTGTAGCCACTATGGAAAAGAGTATAGAGATTCCTCAAAAAATTAACATAGAGCTGCCATACGACCCAGCGATACCATGTATGGGTATTTGTCTAAAGAAAACAAAAACACTGATTCCAAAAGACATATGCACCCCTTGTTCATTGCAGCATTGTTTACAATGGCCAAGATATAGAAGCAACATAGGTGACCATCGATAGGTGAATGGATAAAAAAGATGTGCTACATATATACAATGGACTACTACTCAATAATAAGAAAAATGGAATTGTGTCACTTGCAAAAAAAACATTTTTCATCCTAAGAAGTCAAGCTTATCAAGTGTTTTCACTGAGTAACTAGAAGATACTAATTAAACAGAGATCATTAACTTTAAGACTCGAAATGTCCACAAAAGACAAAGTGGTTAACAGACTTAATTGTGTCCCCTATGGTGACAGTTGTCTGTTTCGTCTGTTTTGCTTCTAAGTCCAAGGCAAAACATTGGCAAAAACACAGGCTTTGTAGTCAGGTGTCTAGATGCCGCCCCCGCCACTTCAGTTCTATGCCCTCTGCAAGTGGCCTAACGTGCTGATGGTCAGGGCCGAAGTCTATAACGTGGGACTCAACTTCCATCTCACAGAGCTATAATGAAGACGAAATGTCAGTGAAGGCACTCAGCACACCATCCCATCTATCAGATATAGACCCACTAAACAGTAACTATTCTTTCTCCTTCGACTGAAGGTAACTTATGAAATACACCTCTTCTGTTAAAAGAGAACAGAGCACATATACCCTTGCTCCCAGTTTCTCCTGGCTTCCCAGGAAGATTTCTGAGTACTCCAGCACAGACACACCAAGTTTTCCATGATGCTGATATGAATACAAAAGAGTAGGCCAGTGCCACGACTGTGAGGGGCTTCTCTCAGTATCTGTGTCCAGGTAAAAGCAGGCAAGCCTCGGGCCGGTGGGAAGTAACTTCTGTTCTATTCCCATCAACTCGAATGCTTTCCAAAACCAGACCCTTTCCCCTGGTTGAGGGAGCTTGGTTCTCCCACAGCCTCACTGGGCAGCGAAGCACTGGTGACCCGTCAGGTCTGGTCACTTCCTACATCTGCTGTCTAGGATTTAAGCTCGGGGATACAATTTTAGGAACTGTTCTTAGATCTCACCCTCATCTATCCAGTCCTTCTTTATTTTCTTTTAGCCTTAACACTAATTTTGAGACTTCCCTTTAGTCTTTTAATATGGAGAGTCTTTCAATAATGAAACAACTGAAGTGTCTACAAAGCAAGTGTGCACATGGAGTGGCTATGTCACTTACTAACTGTAAGACCCTGAGGAAGTTACTTCACTTCTCTGGACCTCAACATTCTCATCCATAAAGTGGAGCTAACGAAATGTGCATCTTGGTGCTGAGCGCATAGACGGTGCACACTCCAGCTCTCTCACTCCGAACATGAATAAGTAAGCACATACGTGTGTGAGTGTGTGTGTGTGTGTGTGTGTGTGTGTGTGTGTGTGTGTACACTGAACAGTAAAGGAAGACACAG